GTTGGTTCGTGCGTAAAGCAGCATGTGTGTGTTGGTTCGTGCGTAAAGCGGTATGTGTGTGTTGGTTCGTGCGTAAAGCAGCATGTGTGTGTTGGCTCGTGAGGCTGACCTTCTGGTTGTTGCAGGTCCGCAGACGGTTTTCAACTTCCTGGTCGGCGTTGTCAGCTTCTGTCTTCTGCTTCTTCAGTCCTTCCATCTTAGTGTCCAGGGCAATTAGCGACTTTTTAAACTCGTGGATTTTGGCTTTCACCTCGACGATGGCTCCCTCCTTCTTCTTGACCTCCACAGAGCCCTCCGAGATGCGGGTTTTCAGGCTGCGCAGAGTCAGCTCCTGACGCACAGTCTGAACGATCATGATGACCATGACGGACGCGCTGAGGCTGACCAGAGCCACCGCCAGCTTCATGTTTTCGGAGCGGATCGAGGAGCTGCTCGGGGCCGCTGAGGATCACTGGATCATCCCCGGATGTGTCCTCTGGTTCACTGTGCCGGCGTGGCTCTACCTGCCGCCGTCTACCTGCTGAACCTGCTGGGCGTGTCGAACCACCTGTGACCTCCCTTCGCACGACACGCACTTAAACAAACACTCGCAGCTATTTGCATCCTGATCAGGTTGTTTCTCTTGAATGTCTTGTATAACTGCTGCCTGCTTTCAATCGTTTCTTCTGAAATTAATAATGTTAAGGATCGTTTTTGAAGAAGGGGCACTGTCTCACTCTCTCTCTTTCTTTCTTTTTTATTATCAGCAAATCTTTCTGTCACTCAGTCTGATCATTTCCTTATGCACCAAGACTTCCATATAAAAGTGCACTGCTAAAACAATTTTGCTAAAAAAAAAAAAAAAAAAAAAAACTCCGGAAAGAAAGAAAAATAAATCTGGCATGTTTAGAGAATAAAGACAATAATCTGTAAAATAATAATATTTTTCAGCTGATTTGAATACATTAAACAGTGTAACTTTATGCTCACACATTGTAAAAGAATGAATTACTGTTTTTTGTTTTTTTCTTCAAAAAAAGCTTTTTTAAGTGGACATTATTTACAGTTTCTTTAATAAAGTCAACATGTCATTTTTTTCTGGGGTGTCACTAGTTACTATATCATCAGGAGAATGTTTAACAGTGAAAATACCAGCAAAGATCTTTAAATTAATGATATTTTCAGCTGATTTGAAGGCAGTAAAACACTGTATATTTATGGTCAGATATTGGAAAAGAACGAGTTATGAGTTACTGAAACATTTTTCCTCATAAAATCACTTAAACTGATGAATCAATTGGTAAAATTATTAATTTGCTGCTAAATTATTAAACTGATTGATCATTGCAGCTCTAAATTACTTCATCTGTATTTTAAAAAAAACAACAAAACAAAACAAAAAAACAATAATTTATTCTTTTACAAAGACTGACCAGAAAAATACACAGTTTTACTGTATTTAAATGGGCTAAAATATAAAGATTTTACAGATATTTGCAGTCATTTTCACCATTTTTACAGTTTATGAATGTTAGAGTATGACAGTATTTTTTAAAATATTTTTGCTTATTATTTTTGGTGGCACCCTCGCTGCAAGA